CGGCTCCTCCCTCCCTGTGGGTTTTCTGATTACCTCCCTGCTGGCCCCCTGTGGGGGGCAAGGAATGCTGGCCTCCAACCCCCCATCTGACTCTATCTACATCCTGACTCCTTATCAGGCCCTTGCCTGTCTCCCACGGGACCTGTCAAGGGGTCCCGTCTGCTGGGAATCACGGCACAGGCTGGGGACCACTTGGCCTGGCATTTGTCAGTGGGCAGGCCCTGGAGCTTGGCAGGAGGCCTGGGCCGGCCTGGGCAGGTGGGCCCCGCACTGGTGACAGGGGCTCTCCGAGGCAGGCGGGAGCACAGCCACGTGTCCCCCGAGGGGGAGGTGCANCGAGCACAGCCACGTGTCCCCCGAGGGGGGGTGCATCCCAGGACGGAGCCGGGAGACTGCTGGGCCGAGTCCCGGGGCAGGCATTTCGAGAGGGCAGTGATGACGGACAGACAGACCGGGGGTGGCTCTTCCCCAGCTCGTGTTTCCTTTGGGACTTTCTCAGTCTCTCCGGGGGCGCGGAGCCCTCCGAACAAACATCTGGCGGTAAAATCTAATTTCAGCCAAGCATCTCGGGAATGTGCGGGTGGACTGGCACCCACCTCTCCCTCTGCGCCCAGGGTGACAGCTGAGACTCCAGGGTCATCCCCTTGCCCTCAGGCTGCACTTTCCACCCCGCCCTCCGGGGTCCTCACAGAGGACCCTGGGCTCCCCTGGGAACCCCGGCAACCAGCCCCGTCAGCCCTTGTGGATGGATTTTGTTTTGCTTCCGAGTGCCATTTGGTTCACACACGGTTCAAACGCTGAACGTTATGTGGAAAACGACTTCTCTAAGTCCCTAATTTTGCAGAGAGCTAAGCGGGCCTGGAGAAGGTCAGGACGAAGACCGGGATAGCATACAGGCCTGCCCCGTCTCCTGGCTCAACCCCCCTCCCTGACCTCCTCACTGCCCCCCCAGGGGTGCCCCGCACACTGTCCCCCAGGCGACTAGCCCGGCACAGTTACACTGCAGGAGCGTGAGCGGAGCCCCTGGATAAATGCAGTGTCCATCCCGTCTGACCCACCAGAGTCCACCCTGCCTGGGTTTTGCTTCCTGTTGTCTGACTCTCCCTCCCCATGGGGTTGGGGTCGGGAGCTGTAATCTCCCTCATTAATGGTTCTCTGTGCCCCCAGGTGCTTCCCCACCGCCCACCGCCCACCGCCCATCGCCATGCCGGAAGTGTAAGTAGTCCCACCCCACCCTGGGCGCTGGGGCAAGTCCCTCTGCTGCAGAATCCAGCCCCAGCGTTGGACTCCCCCCAAAGCCGTTCCCCAGAAGCCGGATCCTGAAACAGGAATGGCCCTGAGTGCCTGGATCCCCAGTGTCCCCAAACCCCCAAGTTGCCTGGGGAAGAGCTTCCTGGCCTGTTCCAGAGTCAGTCTGTCCACACTGATCAATGAATCGTGCCAGGCTGAGATTTAACACTGGCCCCCACTGCCGTGACTTAACATTGGTCCCATAGATGGACGGAGCTCTGGGGATTTATCCCCGAGCCCAGAGATGGGAGCTTCTCACTGCAGGACCCCATGTCCAGGCTTCCCTGACCTCCCGCCCCCTCCTCACCCCCAATGGGGAGTCGCTCCCGACAAGAGCCTCCAGCAGCCCAGAGGCCCCGGGGTTTCATTCTGTCCCTCTGGCCCCCGCCTGAGCCTGGTTTCTCTCTGGTGCCCTCTGCCACCACACATCCCCCCGAGCTTGCCCAGGTGGCTCTGCGGCTGCCTGAATAACTTGTTCCCTCTCTGTCTTCTGCTCTTTCCCTGGTCCCTCCCGTGACGGTGCCTGAAGCGAGGTAAGTGAGATCTGGGGCATCTCTTGCCGGTTAAGTCTCTGGACTGGTGAAGGTGGGGTGGGCGTTGCAGGAGACCAGAGAGAGCTTGGGTCGCGGCCTGGGGAGGCGGATGCCCAGCGGCTGAGCAAATTCCCGGGAGGATAGGGACCTTGGGTGAAGATCTGGACATGAGGCTCCTCAGGGTCCGGGGAGGGGTGCCCAGTGCACAAGGTCACGGAAGGTGGCCCTGGGGCTGGGACGGCAGCGAGCTGGGCGTGACTCAGCACCTTCTCCTTACCCTGCACCCTCGCCCGGCACTGAGCACTGGGTCACCCGCTCTGAAAGCTGGTCCAGCCCAGGTTTGGGGACGTTTCCCTCCAGATGCCAAATACGCATCTCTGCTGCTTTTCAAAGAATGTGCCCATCCGGACCTTATTTTGTTTGTAATACTCTCAACTGGGGCAGGTGGATCTCAGCATCACCCCTGCAGGTTAGGAGGTGGTGCCCAAGGAGGCCACGGGACCCGTGGCATCTCCTGGGGTTCCAGCCGCAGCAGAACCAGAGGAAGGGGAGACTCAGCCCCCAGTCGGGAGAGCTGACTGCCGCCCTCTCTGGATTTGAGAATTCTAGCTAAAGAGGAGCTTTGAAGGGACCCCAGGCGAGGATTCTGGGGGATGACAGCGACCCCGGCCGGCACTCACCCTGGCCAGGCCCAGATTTTCCATTCCGCAGCCTCCCCCTCACCCTGTCTTTCCCCCCTCTCACCCCCAGAGAAAATCCAAGATCACCGCCTCCCGCAAGCTCATGCTGAAGGTGAGCTCAGGAGCAGGGGGCCGGGGGGTGGGGACCTGGGTTTCGGAGAGGAGGCAGTGACCGGGTGTGGGGTGGGAAGCCAGGGCAGGGCAGAGGGACTTGCTTTATTGTGGTTAAGAGTTTCTCTCTCTGGAGCTTTGTGGGCAAACAAACGGAAGTGGGTAGAAGGAGCCTGGGAGAGAAAGGCGAGCTCCAGGACCTGCAGTGTGTGGGGTCACGCGGTGTTTGTCCCACACGGCCAGTGCACACACTTCCATTCTCGGGACCGTCCTGGCCGCGTTGCTCCCAGAGCGTGAGGACAGAGAGGCTGACGGGCCAGCTAAGGCCCGAGCCGGCCTTCCCCTCAGGCCCAATGCCCGTGGGAAGCAGGAGGGCCCGCCCGGCCCAGGCTCACCAGGCTCTGTCCTGTCCAGAGCCTGATGCTGGCCAAGGCCAAGGAGTGCTGGGAGCAGGAGCAGGAGGAGCGCGAGGCCNACATGAGGCTCCTCAGGGTCCGGGGAGGGGTGCCCAGTGCACAAGGTCACGGAAGGTGGCCCTGGGGCTGGGACGGCAGCGAGCTGGGCGTGACTCAGCACCTTCTCCTTACCCTGCACCCTCGCCCGGCACTGAGCACTGGGTCACCCGCTCTGAAAGCTGGTCCAGCCCAGGTTTGGGGACGTTTCCCTCCAGATGCCAAATACGCATCTCTGCTGCTTTTCAAAGAATGTGCCCATCCGGACCTTATTTTGTTTGTAATACTCTCAACTGGGGCAGGTGGATCTCAGCATCACCCCTGCAGGTTAGGAGGTGGTGCCCAAGGAGGCCACGGGACCCGTGGCATCTCCTGGGGTTCCAGCCGCAGCAGAACCAGAGGAAGGGGAGACTCAGCCCCCAGTCGGGAGAGCTGACTGCCGCCCTCTCTGGATTTGAGAATTCTAGCTAAAGAGGAGCTTTGAAGGGACCCCAGGCGAGGATTCTGGGGGATGACAGCGACCCCGGCCGGCACTCACCCTGGCCAGGCCCAGATTTTCCATTCCGCAGCCTCCCCCTCACCCTGTCTTTCCCCCCTCTCACCCCCAGAGAAAATCCAAGATCACCGCCTCCCGCAAGCTCATGCTGAAGGTGAGCTCAGGAGCAGGGGGCCGGGGGGTGGGGACCTGGGTTTCGGAGAGGAGGCAGTGACCGGGTGTGGGGTGGGAAGCCAGGGCAGGGCAGAGGGACTTGCTTTATTGTGGTTAAGAGTTTCTCTCTCTGGAGCTTTGTGGGCAAACAAACGGAAGTGGGTAGAAGGAGCCTGGGAGAGAAAGGCGAGCTCCAGGACCTGCAGTGTGTGGGGTCACGCGGTGTTTGTCCCACACGGCCAGTGCACACACTTCCATTCTCGGGACCGTCCTGGCCGCGTTGCTCCCAGAGCGTGAGGACAGAGAGGCTGACGGGCCAGCTAAGGCCCGAGCCGGCCTTCCCCTCAGGCCCAATGCCCGTGGGAAGCAGGAGGGCCCGCCCGGCCCAGGCTCACCAGGCTCTGTCCTGTCCAGAGCCTGATGCTGGCCAAGGCCAAGGAGTGCTGGGAGCAGGAGCAGGAGGAGCGCGAGGCCGAAAAGTCGCGCTACCTGGCCGAGCGCATCCCCACGCTGCAGATGCGCGGGCTGTCCCTCAGCGCCCTGCAGGTGAGCCTGGCAGCTGGGGACAGGGCTGGGGCTGTGCCAACGCTAGTTATTTTTATCTTATTATTTTTGTTGAACACACACTTTCCAAAATTTCTACAATTAGCTTATATTATTTTTACCATAAGAAAACTTTTTAAAGTATTGCCCGGCCAGCGTGGCTCAGTGGCTGAGCGTCAACCCACAGTTCGATTCCCGGTCAGGGCACATGCCCGGGTTGTGGGCTCCATCCCCAGTCGGGGGCCTGCAGGAGGCAGCCGGTCAATGACTCTCAGCATTGATGTTTCTCTCTCTCCCTCTCCCTCTCTCTGAAATCAATTAAAATATATTCAAAAAAATAAATAAAACAAGTACATTCAGAAAGGAAGGCACAGGGCTTCCTCGCTGAGCAGTCAGCAGTCGCGAGCCTCGGGGGGAAGGGGCTCCTTAGCTCCTGTCTGGACCGCCCGCCTTGCAGAGGGGCAGGGAGGGGGCCAGGGCGCTGGCCTGGGAGGCAGGAAGGGAGGCTCATCCCTGCTTCCCCCAGGACCTGTGCCGTGACCTGCACGCCAAGGTGGAGATGGTGGATGAAGAGAGATACGACATAGAGGCCAAATGCCTCCACAACACCAGGGAGGTGAGCCTGGGGGGGACTCAGGTGGGGGAGGCTGGGGGGGCGCGGATACTGCGGCTGTGGACCAGGCCCCCCTCCTTCTGCAGGGTCTGGAGGTGGCCGCTCCGCAGGATGCTCTGGTCCCCTCCCTCCCCCACTCTGGCCCCACGGGGCTGGAGATGGCTGACGCCGCTCAGATGAAAAGCACACACGCTCCCCAGTCTGGCAGAAGCCACCCTCTTACTCACCACAGACTCACATGCCTGTTAGTAACAGCCTGCCTGAGCGAATAGCTTTCAGGCGCCTTTGATCCCTCCGCCCGCCTGTGGATGAAGTCGGTGCTATTATCTGCGCCGCGCAGAGGACCACACTGAGGTTCAGAGCGGCCCAGGTCACACACTCCAGGGCTCAGTGCTCTCTCCACAGTCCAGGCCCTGCTCCGGGCAAGGAAGGGCAGGGCTCCTGCTGCCTCTGGGCACGTCTCACTCCCCCCCATCAGCAGTGACGATCTGTGGACTCACTGATCTCCGCAGATATTGAACCCTGAATATCCCCCCTGGGGTCAGGGCCTGGGGTTCACGCATCACCTGGACCAAGGCTCTGCTCTCGAGGAGCTGCCTTGAAGGCTCAATGGGGAAGGACAAGTTAGGAGCCATTCACGGCCATGGAGGCCGGGGGCCTTTATCTGTCCACTTGTTCATTTATCAACAAACACACATGGCTATTTGCAAGGAGAGGGGTGGGTCTGTGTGTCTCGGAGGGTCCGGGGAATCTGGGTGTAGCTCTAGCTGGGACCCTCAGGAAGGGTGCCCTCGGTGCCCCCCTCCAGTGAGCCCTGGCTCCTGCCCTCTTGCAGATTAAGGACCTGAAGCTGAAGGTGCTGGACCTCCGAGGGAAGTTCAAGCGGCCGCCCCTGCGCCGGGTCCGCGTCTCGGCCGACGCCATGCTGCGGGCCCTGCTGGGCTCCAAGCACAAGGTGTCCATGGACCTGCGGGCCAACCTGAAGTCCGTGAAGAAGGAAGACACCGAGAAGGTGAGTTCCCTGGAGCCTCTCAGCCACCAGCCTTCACCTGCCACCCGGCAGGCCCAGGAGCTCCTGCTAGAACATTCTCGAAGCCCCTGGGAGGCCAGGAACGAAGCCTGATCATTCTGTTTGGGGAGAAAGAAGACCTGGTCCCTTCCCTGACTGTTCCCTGAGGAGGAAACAGGGACACGGAGGAACCAGATCAAGGAATGAAACACCCAGAGGATGTGGAGATTAGGGTGACTGGAGACTGCCCTCTGTCACTGAGGAAAAGATAGCAGGTCATCACACAGGTCACAGCACACAGAGCACAGAGGTTAGAGGACAGTTCAGGTCACACAAAGCTGGCTGAGGTCACGGTGTCCATGCTCAGAACCGAGCAGGTCGGTGAGAAACGCGGAGGAAAGACGTGGCCCGTGGCCCAGGAAGCTTCATAATGGGAGAGGGGGGCCTGGCGGCACGCTGGTGGATGGAAACAGAGCCAAATTAGCAGGAGGAAGGCTTTCTGGAGGAGGTGGCCTTGGGCTGCTGAGTGGGACCAGGAGGGCAGGGCGGGGCCTGGAGGCAAGGCTGGTCTGGGGTCCTGGGGTTGGAACGGGCCGTCACCCCACGGTCACCTGTGGAGCCTCAGCGAGTGACCCGTGGGGGCCCGGAGGGTCTCTGATCGCTATGTGGCCTGCCCGCAGGAGCGGCCCGTGGAGGTGGGCGACTGGAGGAAGAACGTGGAGGCCATGTCCGGGATGGAGGGCCGCAAGAAGATGTTCGACGCGGCCAAGTCTCCGACCTCCCAGTAGAGGTACCCGGAGATCCCTTCCCTCCTCTCGGGGGCCCACCTGGGTCCAAGGGGCCATAGGGACCCAGGACACAGCTGGCCGGATGCTCGTGGGGTCCATCCTGGCTCAGCACCCTGAGACCTTGGGCGCGTCACTCACAGATGTCCCCTCCCTTATCATTGGAGCTTGTCTCAGATCAGTGGTCTGGCACCAGCGGCATGGGTGCCACCTGGGGGCACACAGGTCACTGGGATTGATGGCTGCCTCCTCTCTGTCCCCACAGGCTGCTTGCTGCGCTGGCTCTGGGATCCCTGTGTGGTCCCTCCTCTGCCTGTCTCCGAACCCCACCCCCA